TCGGAAGGCAATGTCAGTTTCGACGGTTTGAAGACCGAGCTTCTTACTTGTGCGTGCCATCTGGGAAGGGCGTGCAAGGGAGAGGCTGTCGCTCAGCGGCTGGAAGCGGATAGTCGAATTGCGGGACTTACTGCCAGGCAACGCGAGATCTTGGGAATGGTGGTAGCCGGCCATCCCAGCAAGAGAATTGCAGCGTCTCTCGGCATAAGCCAGCGAACCGTCGAAAACCATCGCGCCTCAATCATGAAGAGAACAGGAGCGAGGTCTATCCCATCGCTAACGCGAATGGCTCTCTTTGCTGCAGGGCATGGAAAACAACGGGAGTAATGACGATAGAATACTCTAAGACTTGATGGCTGCGCCTCCAACAAAAAGGCATCATCTATTTGTCGAGTCTCAGCCCGAGCACTCTGCCATGCCAAGACGAAACATCTAGGACGTTTTCAATGCATCTTGAACCAACCAACTCCTTTGATGGCGTTGAAGGAGTCGGTCTGGTGACAGAGATAGCATTGCTCGACGCGGGCGCTGCTCTGCCCGGTGATCTTTTGATCCATCATCGCAAAATGCATCATCATGAAGTGGCTGGGCGGCGCCTGGTGGCACTGGTTGCAGTCTTGTGACTTTGGCGAAGGATGGAGGAAGCCCGCGATCTTCCAGGTCTCGGTCGCGTGGCAGTCCGGCGCACTGCTGACCGAACATTGTCCAGGTGCTTGTCGCGGAAGCTGTGACAGGACGCGCATTCGAGCACCTCGCCTTGTCTTGGCCGGCCCCTGGCCGGTGACCGCTGCCAGAGAACGTCGAAGCGCTTCCATACCGGTGGCGGCTGGTGAGCCGGGGGAGATGCGGGGCCGCACCGCCGTCAAGCTGGCTTCGATCAATACCGCGTGGTCCATCTTGACTGGCCTAACCGCCGCTCCCTTGGTGTTCGACGTGGCAACCCTGACATTCCCCGATCGTCGCGTGGAACGCGGTCGACTGCTTAGCGAGTACGAGTGCATCGGCTGGGTGGCATGTGATGCAGGACGCCGCCTTGATCCCCTCGGTTTGGAGTGTGGCAGCTCTCGCATTGCACTCCGAGGAAGGCGTGCGCAGATGACAGCGGGCCCGGACTGGTGGCGCTGACCCAGATTGGGAGAACTGACGTGCCGGAGCGCGAGATGACAACGGGCACGAGCACTGC